AAAATTTATTAATTTGTTTAAGTATTGAAACATGAAATTGATACATGGGAGAGCACTTCTATTTATACAAAATTTGTCAATACATTTTAGTTCTATTTTTGTTATAAAATTATAAAAAGATATATATAAAAGATAGAAAAGGTAAATAGAAAAAGGTAAAAAAGGTAGAGAATAAGGGTAGTAAAGGTAGAAAAGATAAATAACAAAGATAGAAAAGATAGAAAAGATAAATAACAAAGATAGAAAATGTAAATAATGAAGGTAGAAAAGGTAGAAAAAATAAATAGTAGAGTAGAAAAGGTAAATAGTAGAGGTAGAAAAAGTAAATAACAAAGGTAAAAAAGATAGAAAAGGTAAATAACGAAGGTAAAAAAGATAGAAAAGGTAAATAGTAGAAATAAAAAAGATAGAAAAGGTAAATAATAAAGATATAAAAGATAGAAAAGATAGAAAATAAAGGTATAAAAGATAAAAAAGATAGAAAAAATAAAAAAAGTAGATAAATAAAATAAAAAAGATAAATAATAATAATTAATATGTATATACTATTTTTATCAATTTGTTGTTTTGTTACTATTTTTGAAGATTTTCATTTTTTTACTATTTTTGAAAGATTCATTAATTACAGAATTATCAAAAATAATTATAATACTACTATTACTACTAGTAGCATTTTCTTTTTGTTATTGCTATAATTATTGAAGCTGTTAATTTTGTATTTCTAGTTGATTTTAATGAGATTGAATAGCATCAGTAAGAGTTTGCTGTTGTTTTAATAAAGAGACAAATCCATTCATAAATTGTTAAAATTGTTATTAATTTATTATAATATATATAATCTTTATTTGCTGCTATCAAGTTGTAAGAATACTTTCTTATATAAAAATATTATTAATTGTTATAAATAAATTATATCAATTGAGATATTTTTTAGTTTTAATTTTAATAAAACTTATTCTTTATTTATTAAATAGTGAAAAGATCTGAAGAGTTATAATATAGAGCAAAGATATTTAAATAAAAAAGTAATTGGTTCTAAATTATTAATCTTAAAAGTAATATATTATACTTAATTAAATATATATAAAATATAAATAATAATAATAAGTAATTAACACAAAATTAAAATAATAAATACAAAATAAAAGAATGAATAAAAATAAAAAGAATTAAAAACAATATGTATCTAAATTAATAATATGATCTATATTTCATATCTAATTTATTTGGTAAAATATTAAGAAATATTAATATAAATCTGTATTAATTTCTTATATGTTATATGAAAAATGATAAATATAATACAAAAAATAATAAATATAATACAAAAAATACAAGGATATATAAAAATTGTTATATTGATATTTAATAATCTGATTTGAAAAAAATACTACTGTTCAATTCATCTTAACTAAATGAATTAAATAATAATAGTTTTGTTTAAATCAGATTATTAAATATTAAGAATTAGATTATTGAATATTGAGATATATATTATAAAATAACTAATTATATGAAAGTTTATGAACATACAATATTTAATATAGAAGCTCTATCAATTTATAAAAGATATCATAATTAGCATTTGTAATATTCTTTATGCTCAAAAAATTTCAGAATATTATACATAATCTATAGAAAGTTTAAGAAAATTTATTACTTTTAACAAGCACTGTACATATATATAATTATATTAATATAAAAAGAAAAAATTTGATAATCTGTTGGTAACATCTAAAAGAAAGTAATCAGAATAGAAAAACAATAAGAGTAATTAAAATGGTAAAAAAGATTTGATTTGATTTAATTAAATTAGCTAGCAAAAAAGTAATTTATATGAATATGAAATATTAATAAATTGATTAATAAATAAGACAAATAACAATAGTAACAATAATAGAAAACTATCAAGCATCTTAGATAGATAATTCACACACCACATGCATTTCAAATAGCAAGAGAAAATAAGTGTTGGAATAATATGATTTGATTAGCCGATCCACGTGGCAATCGGGGTGATTATTGATTAGTCAATAAATTAATCTATTCTGATTGGTGCATCTTTGTAGGTCACGCTGGGCAGTGATTTTTCCCACGATGCAAACAAGATATAAACGCGCTCGTCCTCAATTTGTTCTTCCTACAAGCATGGATCCCTCGGAAACCTCGGAAATAATCCACTTTATACATCAATACCTTGGCTCAAACCCGAATGCCTCAAGTGAAGAAATCATTGAAGCATATTGTGTGTCGGAACAAGGTAAGCAAGCAATCAACGCACGTTTATTGGGAAGATAGTTTGAGTACAACAGGAAATGCTCATTGCGTTTGGTGTCCTTTTCTTGCTATTCTGTTGGTTATCTATTCACTCAACTCTAAACCTATACCGGTTTTCGTCTATCTCTTCTATTGCGTCTACCTCCCACCAGTAACCCAAAATTATACTGCATTAAAGAGCGCGTTTAAGAATACTTTGATAAAACCTCGAGAGGACTATGTCAACATCTTTTTTCGTTATCTGGAACAGTGTGCGATTGAATGGACACCGTATCAGTTCTATGCGCCTTACACATCGCTCATACAAGCCAGCGGCACTGGCAAGTCAAGACTGTTACGAGAATTGGCATTTGAAAAAGACGTCTTGGTGGTGTATATTTGTTTGCGTGGTTCAATGTCAAGGGGTTATCCAAAGCGTTCCATCATCGCTGATGTAATCACTGGAAGAGGTTTTTCAGTAGCTCACTATCTAACCTTCTTATTAGCTTTGTTTGGTGTGTGTTCAGAATTCTTGGATCAACAACTTCGTGAAAATGCGGAAAAGACATGTGGCCGTGTGTTTGACATTCTTATCAGTGATAAAGATGATGAAACGTTCGATTTGCAAAACTGTTTTTGGAATAAGGTGATGGAGCAGATGAAATTGCAAGAGGCTTTGAACAACGCAATGACTGATGTTGTAGAAAATATAGCAAATCGCTATAAAAACCTTATGGTTACTTTAAAAAAATTGAGCAACCCCTCTCCATTTAAGATGTTGTTAGCCTTTGACGAAGCTGGTGTATTGGACAGCAACAATATTTCTGATAACACGGGTAATTTCTATCGCTTACAGAACGCACTACAGGCTATTCCACATGGAAGGGATGGCTGTTTTATGGCACTTTTCATAGACACTCTCTCAAAAGTTTATTTCCCTCCTGCCCCACGCCACGACCCATCCAGCAGACCCGGCGGAGGAGAAACACTGTACAAACCATTTTACCTTCTTGATGTATTTGACTGCCACATGCAACAACCAGTAAATATTACAGTTTCATCATCAATAAATCAAATTCGCAATATAGGACGACCTCTTTGGGCAGCCATTGATGAAGAAGCTATCATAGAATTTGCCATGGAGAAAATTCTTTGTAATAGGGAGAAAGTTAGGTACATATATGAGAAAAGAGATACAATCATTGAGACGGTGACAGAAGCACTAGCAATTCTTGGCCCACGACTTTATTTGGAAATCTCAAGTCTTTCACAGCAAGCCTCCAAGTTGGTTAGTAGTCATATGAGGATTTTACGCCATGTCGATGAGGAGCGGGAATCGCTTGTCACTACATCTCCAAGTGAACCCATATTAGCCGAGGCTGCGAGTCATATCATGAATTATCCTGGAATATTTGTACAAGTTTTGAATCATCTAGTTAACTCAATCAGAAGTCATGTCGTTGTAAACGCAGGTGATCAAGGTGAGCTTGTGGGGAGAATCTTGTGTCTGTTGGCAGTTGACAAGGCAATTCAATCAAAATATGAATGCTGGAACATGTACTCTCAGTCTATCACTGTGCAAGAATTTCTTGATGCACTGGTTGGTTCACAGGCCTTTGAAAAGCTCAAGTCAGTGCTTGATGAACAAGCCAACAGCAATAATTCTGTAATGCTTCGCAATAGTAAGATCAGGTTCAACCACTTTGTATATGTTGACTTCACATCCACAAGGATGAACCTCATTGACTTCTTCTTTCGTGGTGCAGCAATATTGTGTAAGCGCAATCAAAAAGGAACAACAGATCTGATCATTCCAATTGCCATGGTCCAGGATGATGAAACCCCAGTTACAGAGAATAACCTGTCATTCATCAGTATCCGAGTCAGAAATCGAGAGACTGATAGCCAGCCAACTGGTGATGATTATCAGTTTAAACGACAAAGGACAGATAATATATTCAAACAGACAGCTCGTTATATTGGAATTGACAGCAGTATACCTTTCCCTTTACCCTATCTTGGCATTTATATGAATCTTGGTGTGACATCTGAAGACATAGCGTGCTACTGTACGTTAGACATTGGGCTGAAAACACGAACAGATGTCAAGGAGAGGATGGGACATTTGAGCATTTATGGACTCTCGAAGAGTGTATATGCATGTCTTAACGACAAAGATAGTGCTGTAGAACCATTATTGCACAAGTTGTTGATATCATATGTTGATCCTGTTGAAAAAGAAGATGGCATTCTGTGGGGTGGACACCAACCCAGTGATGAATGGATCCAACAATGCAAGCAAATTGCGAAGAATATGGAGTTTTTACGATATAAACAAGGTATGTCAGAACATGTGTTTGCAATTTAGTCACATTCTATTGATTGCACTTGCATTTAACAGATGAGCAGAAAGAAGAGAAAGGAAAACAAAAAAAATAGACAACAATAATAGCATAAGAGTGATGGTTTTTATAGAAATTATCTTGTTTTTTTATTATTCATCTCTCTCATGAGCATGAGCATGATATCAAAACAATATCTGATCTCTCTTTGTGTTATATTTGTTACTTTTTGAAAAATAATATAATATAATTGATATCTTGAAAAAGATTCAAAGATTTAGAATGCAAATAGGAACGATTAGAGAAATAATACAAAAATGTAAGAGATACTTGGATTGAAAAACAAAATAAAAATTTTGAAAAAATAATTGTAAAAATCATAATACAATCAGATTTTTATAAAAAAATCCTTTATAAAAGAACAATATATAAAAATATATTTTTGAGAACAATAAATTAGTATTTATATTAAAAATAATTTTCATATAAGAATAATTTCTATAATAAAACACAATTTAGCTATTGCAACTATATTCCTTTATAGAGATCCAACTATGCAATCTAATTTTTTTATATGTTATTTTTTATAAGTTACTTTATATAATTATTATAAATTATAGAAAATTAATTTTCATATAGTTTAATTTTTTTATAATTTTTCATATTTTGAGAATATAATTATATAAATATTTAATTATAATCATAAAATTATTTATATATAAAAAATATAAATATTATGATTTTATTGAATATGAAAAGATTATTCTTAATTTCTAGAAAAATTTGTTTGAAAAATTTTTTTATATATAAAAAATAGAAATAATCTAAATAAAACATCATGTTTCAAAAACACATTCAAAAAATTATGTAATATATAACTTTAATTACATATTATACAAATACTTAAAAGCATAATTATATTATATAACAATTTTGTATAACTCTTCCAAAATAAATCATGTGATATATAATATTATAGTATTAATTATAATTATTATAATACTTTTTAATATTATTTATATTTTATTAAATTAAATAATTATTTCTTTGTTTTATTATTTTAATTACAAGTTTTTAATTATTTTTATTAATTGAAACTATATTATATTACAAGTTATAGTCATGATCAAAAGTATCTGACTCTTCTTAACTTTTTATAAATCATGTATAATACACCAAATTTTTCTGAACACAAAAAATATTACAAATACTGATTATTGATACTTTTTATAAATTAATAGAACTTTTATATTGAATATTATATACTTATAAACTTTCACATGACAAATATAATCAGTTATTTCATAATACATATCTCAATATTAATAATCTAATTTTTGATATTCAGTGATCCAATTTGAACAAAAATATTATTATTTGATTTGTTTCGACTAGATAAATTGAATAGTAATATTTTTATTCAAATCAGATTACTAAATATCAAAATATTGCATCTTAAAATAACAGCTTCATTTTTTTGATATTAACAAAAATTAATCAGCAACCAATTTAGAACATGATATCTTGATCTCCAATAATTTAATTTGAACAAAAATAATATTATTCAATTTTCCTAGTCAATATAAATTGAATCACTGGAGATCAAAATATTATATATATTTTAAATTGACTGATTCATTTTTTTAGTGATCATCAATATCTTCATAAAAGAAACTAGTTGTTGATGAAGCTTTTGCATCTGGTAAGGCTTTTGCTTCTGGCCATTTTGTAAGATAATCCATAGTGACTATAATATATTTATTGCCTCTTGCTGTTTCAGGTAGTGGTCCAACAAAATCCATTCCAATTCTATCAAAGGGCTGTTCTACTGGTATGGTATGTAAAGGTTCAATTCTTTTAT